GGACCCAAAAAACGTGCCATAGTTAGGTTTTATTGACAGTAGTTAAACTCTCCTTTTACCCGTTGACGGGCGTTGGTGTCTGGAGGCGACAAGGTGTTTGGGATTTTTTTCTCAGCGATCGGCAACAGTTAATCGTTATCCCATAACGTAATAAGCAATAAAGGAGTTTAAAGCAGCATTAAAAACATAATTTGAACTTGTGTCTTAAGTTAATTAAGAACAATCGATGCGCGAAAATCGCTAATTTTGAACTTTCTGGCCTCTCGTAGGTTTTGCTTATAACTAACTAGTGGATGAACAATGGATGCACGCAGTGCAAAGGCGGCTCGGCGTGTTCATCAAGGCAGCAACTGCAATGTTAAATTGCACAAAGGCTGCTTTGTGAAATGCCATATGAGAGAGTGATGAAAGTTTGCGAAGGCATATTGTCAGCATCGCTCGCTTTCTATGTTTTATATATGTACAGAGTAGTAGTGGTCAAAATGCAAAGAAAAGGGTTTCAGCAGTTTTTAATTTTTTTTTCTGACCAGTTGTCAACAAATTGACCACTTAGGTAATACTGTTTTAAAGCACTTTTTTGGGTATTTATTGAAGCAATTGATTTTACGTATTTCCTGTTTTTTTTAGTTATTACAAAATTGAACATTTGTATGCAGTAGACTATCCATGGCCATTGTTGTCAGCAGACGACATAGTCGCCACCACCGATGATCAGCACAAGCTCACAAAAATTCTCTTTCTTAAATGAATTTTTTTATCGGGAAATCCCGATTTTCAATGGGAAACTCACAATCCTTCGGGTACCGCCCGCTGGAGGGTTAAGGTAAGTGGCCCGGTAAATGGTACCAAATTCTTGTACATATTCGAAAATTTTCACTTTCGCGCACTCCCAAACGCTTTTTTTGCTTATGACATTCTGTAACCATACACCATCTGTATACATATGTAGGCGTGAAAACCGTTTGTGCGCGCAACATCCAGTTTGACAGTTACTGCCTTAAGAAAATCCTAACAAGTTTAATGGGTAATTACATGCCGGGGTCCAAAAGTCCCGATATCAGCTGATTTTCTCCAAATTTTGCATGAAAACGCACATATGCAACACTGTATTCGAATTCCAAAATAAATCAAAAAAGTTTCAAAATTTTAAAAAATTTGAAAATTTGAAAATATCTTTAACTGCAAAACTCACACAATACATAAAACGATTTTCTATATAATCGATCTGCAATTCTGACAGCGAAAAAAGAGGTGACAGTTTTTATCTTGAGTAAAAATAGGCCTTTAGCTTTGTGCGCAAGGCAAGCAGCAACTTTCACTGTGATAGACTCGTAACCGTACACAACTGTTAACAACTTAAAACGTTAACAACAGACTGTTACTTGTTAACGTTTTCATGATACAAGGTAGCCTCCCGCCTTCGGCGGTCGGCACGTTCGTACAGGACTTAGGGAAAATTACTTACTGTACGACTAAACTTTTAATTAAGTACATGCTTACTTCATTAACCTGATCATGTTAATTTTAAACTAACTGCTAGCTGCGTGGTAACACTTATTTTGTTTTGCACGTAAGAATATAGTACCACCTCTTAGAACGTCACTGTACTTACTCATTTACGATACGTACTTAAGAACAACCGAAATGTTTTCTGATCAAAGCCTTTTTTAAAAAATCAAACGTCAGAAGGCACACCTATGGAAAATTTGGAAATTTTCAAGACTAAACTTGACTTAACCCGACCACGCGTCGATTTATCCATAATAACCAAGGAAAAATACGTTTTGAACGGTGAGCTTGTATAAAATACAAGGTATCGGTCGGGCTAGCGCGCGACCAGTTGTGTTTGAGGTAATGGAGATGTTGAACAATAGTAGTCTTGAATTTCTGGAATCTTTTCGAGTTTGCATTGTTTTTGTCAATTTTATTTTTTATTTTGCTTAATTTATTATGCGCTTATAGTTTTAGTGTAAACTCGCTTTCTATGATGCTTCAGGAGAAGTATGAATAGGTGAACTATCTGTAGTCTGTACCGGCTGTGGTGAGCTGTCGGGCGTTTTGGGCTTTCTGAGATAAACCTTATTGCCTTAGGTGGCTTCGAGTATCACTGTCTGTTAAAGCGACCGGAAATGCTAATCTTAACAGTTTCTCAATTTTCTGAAAACTGATTTGATTGCGTGACTGATTTTACTAATTTCGATTTATTTGAAAATTATCGATTAAATGAGTTCACCAAACTGTTCAAATATTTAGAAATAGTACGTTGCGGTAATTTGATTTTGTAGTTTTTCAGTTCTGAATTATTTTGAGTAGTTTTCTGAACCGCTAATTATTACAATCAGATTTATGAGCCGTATTACCGCTTGTCGCAGTTTTCATGTCTTTGGTTCTAAAGTTTCAACTATGATCAGACTGCGAAACACCTTTCCTGATTACCTTTGCGCAGCTTCTCAGCTCACTTTTCTATTTCCATGAATGTATCTTTTAAAAGTAGTATATCTAAATATTTACAACTGTTTTCAAAGCGTGGAAATACTAAAAAATAGAGGTAGGAGCTACTACTCGTAGTAACGCTACCGCGAAATTAACCTCTTTTCTGTCTCGTAATTTGCACCGAGTGCGAGGTGCTGCAATAAGTCTTCGTCAAGACTCAAGAGCATAAAATTTGTCTGAAGCCACGAAGAGCGTACGTCACGCTTTTCCATTTCCACAATCCCAATACCATTTCCCAGTGGTGTTGGCGCTCGCGCTCGTGCATAATGTGTGTGAGACCGGGATCACTAGCGTTCACGTCAGTGGCGCTACGCCTGTGGCGCTACGCCTTCGGATTACGTGTCTGTGTTGTGTCTCTTCTGATTGGCTTGAGTTGTGTTAGTGGGCGCGGCACAGCACGTGCTGCACAGTGATACACACTGTTGAATGGGCTCTACGCTTAACGATCGAGCTGCGCCGATCCGTGTTGATTTTCTGTTGTCGGAATTTTCAATATTATTAAACGTTAGCGATTACGGTGCGACGTTTTGTGTTTCCGCATAGCTCGCGATCCAGATCGTATCGCTCGCTCCACAGGATAGATTCCGTTTCTGTCTCTGTCTCTGGATCCATTCTGGATCTTGCATTAGATGGTAGCAGAGCCGACAGCGGTTCTCTGATTCGAATTGATTTGATTTGTGTCAGGCAAATTTGGCCTGTTATTCGCTGTGACCAGTAAGGCACAGGTCTGTACGGACAGCAAAGCGCACACCACAAGCGGTGCAATTTCCCCATCGGACGCGGATAACCAGCTTCGGTTTTCGGTACGGTATCTTCAGCGAAGAACCGTGCTGTTTCCTTAGCTGTGAAAGAGTACAAGAGTTCAGTCGTCAGCGTTCCTCGGTGTAGAGTCTTCAGCGAAGACCTACACTGGTGTCGCTGATACTCGGCAAGGATTCAGCGAATCCTAAGCCGTGGGCCACAAGCGGCGAAGCGCTAAAAGGGGCGCACGGAAAAGACCAGATCAGACTCCTCCAAACTGGAGTAGAGCACCATTACTGTTGCTACGGCACAGCCGGCACAGTAACATACTGATAGCGCGGGGCACGCTACGGAACAGCGGCGACGCGGGAGCGGAGTTGGAAGAAGAATCTGGATCATTCGGATCATTTTTCCCGTGGAACGTGGAACGGACGGACGGTTAACAGGTAGAAAACCGTTATTAAATACGGGATTGGCTAGACGTTAAAATTGGTAATTTTCATTGGTCCGTACTGAGCTGAGCGTAGAAGTAGGCGGAGTTTTGCACGCGGCGCGCTTGTCTGGCCGTTGACCGTGACGTCAGGCTGATATAAAATTTAAATGGTTTAACGTGATTGGTCAGTTATCTGAGCCGTGATTGGCCGAAATTTGAACTAAATATTTTGAGCTAGCGGACCAATCAGAACGAAGTAAACAACCAGAATGGGGATTTTCCGTTGAACTCGAGTCGTAATGGGAAATTTGATTTGAGATGAGATAATCGAGCGGGAAGTGACCTTTTGAGTTGAGTTGAGTTGGAAAGTGACCTTTAAGACTAGAACGTGACCTTTGACTTTGAAAAGTGACCTTTACTAAAAAGTTGGAATTGTCGAAATTGACCTATTCAAGTGACCTTTATGATCTGAAAGCGACAAACGGTGACCTTTATCGAAGTGAAATTGAAGTGAATAGTAGTACAGCGATATCAGCAGCTGTAGGATTTCATTTGTAAACGTGTTTTGAACTGTAAGAACGGTTTCGAAGTTTTGTCTGAGGAGTGACCTTTAGAGCAAATCTCTCGAACTTTTTACCGAAAAAGTGACCTTTAAACGGAACTTAGCCGAAGTTCTTCAATCGAAAAGTGACCTTTAGCAAGGATTTAGAAAAAATTTCTAAGTACAAAGTGACCTTTAGGATATTTGAATAAAACCATACAATAACGTGTGTGTGAGAACAATTGGCAGGAGCGTCAAAGTTATCCGATCAACATGGACAAAGACAAAGAGGACCCGACATCTACCAGCAGTCAGGGAAGCAAAAGCTCCCGTAGCTCACAGCAAGGCGCACCAAACCCGTATAAAAAGGATTTGCACACGTACTCACGTCCAGTTGGACATGAGCGGAACACTCGAGCGCCTAAGGCATTCGAGAAGAAGGATTCGCGAGGCTCTGATAGCACTTATCAGAAGGCGCTCGAGGCGGTCGCCAACCAGGAAAGTTCCAGTGACGACCAGAAGCACACTCCCGCGTCTACGGCGGGAAGTGATCCGATGAACCAGACAAAGGTCACCGGGGAGGATAAGTCCACAGGAAGAATAGCGGAACTAGTTGGAGCATCACAGTCGGATGCTACCACTAGCGGAATGAATGAGCAGGATAAAAACGTGAACCTGACTCAAATGGAAGTTGATAAGACAAAGGTCGCCGAAGAGGAACTCGTTGAACTGGGTCTGGATGACCTTTCACTGAACGATAAGACCGCAGGCGATGACCTTTGGGGAACTCCAATGGTCTCTGACGAATCGAACGAGTCCTACTTCACGGATGATGAAGCGACGATGAACATGTCCTTCCAAACTGCGATGAAGGAAGCTGACCGCGCTGAAGGCATGACACGATTCAAGGACATGCCAGAGCACCTCATTGAACGGACACAAACTGGAAAGGTCATCAATGTACGACCGCCGTCACCGAACAGCCGCACGTCAACTTTGAGGAGAAGTGTCAGCGAATTGGAAAATGAACTGGAAGTTAACGAACGTCAGGCGGACAAGCGGAAACAGGAATACCGAGAAAGACTGACGACACTTGAGAACCGCCTGTTTGATCTGGAGCAGCAACAGGATGACCTTCAAAGTGCCGCAGACGGTTGGAAAGTGAAATATGAAAGACAAAAGGAACTGGCCGAAGAGTACCTGAAAATGGTTGATGACAGAGAAATGGAAGGTCATCTTGCAGTCAGTGACCTTAATGAGAGTTTGTCAGAAGAATCAGCTGAAAGGTCACGGCACTTGGCAGAATTGAAGGATGAATGTGGCTCATTGAAACTTAAGGTCACTGAAGCGGAAGCTAAGAGAGACGAATATGCGGCTAAACTCGTCGACGCTACGCAGCGACTGTTGACAAACACCAATGAAGTGTTTAAGCTCAGAAACGAATTGAAGCTACGAGACGAGAGTATCGGAACTCTTCAGAAAGAATCACAGGACCATCAGAGAAGAGCCGATGACGCCGTCAAAGTGGCTAAGGACCTGCGCGATCTAACAGCCACCGAACGCGCACGGTTGAGCAATGAAATCAGACAGGTCATGGAGGAGAATAAGGTGTTGAAAGAAAATATCGGAAAGGTCACCGAAGAGAATACCGAGCTGAAGGAAGCCGCTAAGACATCTGCCGAACAGGGCATGAGATGGGAACACGAAGCACACCTCTTGGACGTAAAGGTCACGGCACTTGAACTGAAAGATAAAGAGTGGCAACAGTCGGTTCATCAGAAGACACAAGAGATCATCAGACTCAACACGGAGCTGATCGATATGACCCAAACGGTAATGACAAGGGAAGATGAGGTCACCCAAACAAAGGACCAGCTGAAAGCGGCAGCCGATGAGTATTCGAAACTGGAGAGAGACGTGACCCAGTTGGCGGAACACATTGCAAAAGTGGAGAAAGATACTGAAAAGGTCATCCAGGACAAAACGCTTCAATTACATCAGCACATGTCGAAGGTCAACCAAGAGAACCAGAACTTGAAGAACGAGAAAGAACAATCCGACTTAAGGATTAAGCGTCTCGAAGATGAGAATAAAGCCCTTCAAATGTCCAACAAGCATAAAGATGAACAGCTCCTACAACATGGAGTTAGAGCAGCGACAGTGGAATCACCGCCGCCCAGTTACAGCAAGGCGCATGAAACGGGCACGGGCAAAAGCTTTCACTTTGACATGCCACTACGAACTGGCACTGGTAAAGGAAGCGTCAAAGCGGAAAGAGACGGTGAAAAGGGCAAAGATGACAAAGAGCCACCATCAGGAGGTTACCCACATTCGAGCAATGCCGATCCTTCCCAGTTTCCCCCGCATATGGAAACGAACATCTTCATAGATGAAAGGCAAAGAGACAGACCGTCTAGCCGACAAGAGCGCCCAAGGAAATCACGTTATGGAAAAGCGAGACGAAACCAAAACGATGATGAAAATAGCGAAGAAGACGATGACCAGAGAGCAGAAAACACAGCGGTGCAATTGACAAAAGCGCTCAACTCGATGGCTAGGAAAACACCACTCATGACCCTTGATGGCAGTCGTGACACTGTGAGTGGATGGACAGGACTGGTAAAAGAAACCCAAAGAACCTACCAGCTAACGGACGACCAAATTATGATCGAGATTGCTATTGCGGTGAAAGGTCCTGCCAAAACTTGGTTCGAAGGCGAAAAGGACATCGCAGCAGAAGACGGAATTGAACACTCAATAACTGAATGGATGGATAAATTCAAAGATGAATACGGCGACAGAGACGAAGAAGTCTTAGGCTTACGTGAGGCCTATGCAAGGAAATTTGAACTCGGGAAGGAATCGCTTGACCAGTACTACCAGGCGATGATGCGCTTCAAGGCAAAAAAGATCATCACCGAAAAGCAAGCAGTCGGCTTCCTAATTGAAGGATGTAGAGTGGACAACGAACTCTACAAGGCACTGCGTATACAGAAGTGCAAGACGCCAACGGACGTGAAGGACTTCTTCCGACATTGGGCAACGGGCGAAGAAAAGTACAAGGCGCCGAAAGGCCAACGTAATCAGGAATACGTGACCATCCGGCAAGGCCAAGTTGAAAATGTACCGCAACAGAGGATGGCGGCTGCACCAGTCCAACAGCCAGTAGAATGCCGTGTGGAGACTCCGGTCAGAGAGGTCACAGAAAAGGTGACCTTTATCGACAGTCAGACGGGTCAACCGATAACATACTCGATGGTGGCGGCGATACAGGCAGCAGCTCAAGTGAGGCCAGTAGCCCAGAATGTAGCTCCCCAGAATGTAGCCCCACCGGCACCACAGAATATGGCCCCTATGAACGTCGTGTTACCACAACAAGGAGGGGGTAACGGAAACTTCGGCGGAAATGGATACGGAAATGGAAACTGGAACGGAAGTCAAGGAAACTTTCAAAATCAAGGTCAAGGTCAAGGCAACTTCCAGCCAAACAGAGGAAATCAAAATAACTTTCAGCAGAATCAAGGGTCACGAACAGAGTTCAAGTTCCAGATGATAGACGGATGGGTGGCAAACAATGTGCAGATGTGCCAGTACTGTATGTATGGCAACCATCAGACCCAGGGATGCAAGTTCGCCAACACACTACCGGACCAGAACCCGAACCTGTTTGCCTTTAACGAGTGGCAACGACTGCGCGGGCTTGGCGGTTGGCGCCTAGCGGTGAATAACGGATATGACCTCATCACCCAATGGTACCAGCACAAAGCAAACTTCCGAAACCAACAAGGGAATGGAAACGGCAACTATGGAAATGGAAATGGCGGTGGCCAGAATGGCGGCTACGGCCGTGGTGGCTTCGGCCGCGGCGGCTTCAGAGGAAGGAACAGAGGCTATGGCCGAAATTAGAGAGGCGGCGGAAATGGAGGCGGAAACTACCAACAGGGTGGTGGCCAGCAAAACGGAGGTGGCCCGGTAAACGAGCAAGTGCAAGGAAATGTGCAAGGAAATGCGCAAGGAAATGTGCAAGGCGCACAACAAGGAGGGGCGCCGGTTCAGGGAAACGGGCAAGATCAGTAGGCACCGGTGAGCCTACTGATCGACCCGACCCTAAACCACCGGATAAAAGGGAAAGGTCACCACTGCAGAATGGTACTGCAGTGAATGTGACCACTGCAACGGCTATACGGATGCCGTCAGCGCAAAAGGAAACGGCTAGATGGATGCCGCCACAGCAAAGAGAAACGGCTATATGGATGCCGTCATCACAAAAAGGAAATGGAACGGTTATAAGGATACCGTCACAGAATCAAAGGTCACCGCAGAATGGCACTGCGAGTTGAAACGTTCAAGTGGACCAAAGGTCACCGCAGAATGGCGCTGCGAGTGGAAGAGCGCAACGGGACCAAAGGTCACCGCAGAATGGCACTGCGAGTGGAAGCGCGCAACGGGACCAAAGGTCACCGCAGAATGGTACTGCGAGTGGAAATTGTCGTGACGGTAGCGCGACACTGCAAAAAGTGCAGCAAAATGAAAGGTCACCGTACTGCAGCGAAGAAGTGCTAGCGCAACGACGCGCACAACGAAACGCGAAGATTAAACAGACGCTCCTGAACCAAAAGAAATCGCAGAACGATACTGCGCAAGAGGAAAATGAGCAACATGCGAAATTCCGAAGGTATTTGGCAGAAAATGACAAAACGAATGAGCCATGTTGCGACTGTCACGGGGAGATAAAGCCTAAGTTCTGGAATTGTTCCGAGGACGAGGAAGAGAAGCTAATAAGGCAAGAATGGATTAAGCAGAATATCACCGTTATTAGTAAAGATGAAAGGTCACCTTCTGTTGGAAAAGTTCAAGTGAAAGTCAAGGAACAAGTGCGAACGCTAAAGGTCACGGTAAAAATGCCGTGCTAAAAGGTCAAGAAACAGACTTGACACTGCGAACAGCGCAGCAAAAGAATAGCGAACTGGCACAACAAAACTCCGACGACTCACTTGTGGATGCAGTAACGCTGCAACGGAAGGAAATCTGGCGAAAAGTGGCATACAGACCCAATGAAAATCACGGGATGTGGATACCCGTAACCCCGAAAGCGAAGCAGAAAGCGGGAATGTCACAAGAGGATTATTGGGACATGCAGGAGTTGCGAACACAACATGAGAGGAAACGATTAGAAGAGTTAGTTTTCGGGAAACCAGCACAAAGGTCATTGAACCCAGTCCCAGCATTTGATCCAGCTGAATATAAGAAGGCATTCGCCGACGCGAACTATCCACGAAATGCACCGCCAAAGGACAAACCACTGAATTATGGAGAAAAAGTCCCCATACAAAAGTTGACGGGCGGCGGATTTGTCATGAAGCGCAACGAAAGGTCACAGGACTTAGCGCAAAACGAACAAAGAGGAAGGTCAAACGAGATGGCGCAAACGCAACAGAGTAGCGCAGTCGAAAGGTCACGGGACTTATCACAAGCACTGCAAAAGTATTCCACTGCAGAGGCACTGGAAATAAAGACGGCTAAAGTGTGGAAGAATAAAAAGAGTGAAAGGTTACGGGTATTGAAACGAATAGCCAAAAAGGAACAGATGTTTACAAGTGAAATTCGTAACAAGGCGCTCGAACGGTTGTAAGGTCACCGAACACAAAAAGAACCAGAGGTCATCGAAATATCCTCTGAGGGCAAAAGTGTGACTCCAATTGAATGTGAGGAAGATACCACAGCACAGGAAAAGGTTAAACCGCAAGCGAGTCAACGGACATTAACCTCAGACGAACGAGCCAGGAGTTGTCACCACGGCTACTTTGAGGACCCGCGCAGAATACAACCACAATGGGAATGTGCAGAATGTTGCGAAAACGCCTCCCAAGATGACCTTTTACAATGGCCGAAATGTAATGCCGCAATAGCAGACCTTAAAGGTCATGCCCAAAAGGAAGTAAAAAGTATCATGCGGACAAACGAAATGTGGAAGCCACACATTGAGCGGTATCACTGTAACAGATACCGGACTTGGTTGTCATGCGTGAAGAGCTTCATTATCGGGAGTGGAAGATGGCTAAATCATTGGTTACAACGTGTCGAGAAAGGAATCCAGGATCCTCTTGATCCGGTAGCAACCGAAAGGAGATTCGAAAGAGAGATAGAAGAGATAAACGAGGAAGGAGAAATGTGGGAAGAAGCGAGAGTTGACCTCTTCTGGGACTTCCGTGTGAACCACATGTATAAAGGTGAAGGGAGAACGATCATCTTCCCGGCAGGACTTGGTACCCCTGTCTACGAATCACTCGAAGTATATCACAACGCGTTAAAAGAGGGGAACGAAGAAGTATTCCAAAAATATTGGAATAAATTTGAAGAAGAGATCCCCAGATTCGACGTAAAAGAGATGCGAGAATTACAAGTGACCCGGAAAAGAATGTTACCGGGATTAATGCAAAAAAAAAGGTGACCTTTGCACCAAATCTAGATGGAGTGGACTACCCAGAACGAGGTGGTGATACGTGGTGCATGTATGAAATGATTCCGAGCGACGAATGGGTCACCGAAGAATTAATGGCAAATTGTGTCTTCATTGGTCCGAACCGACCTAAAGGTTATGAAACGGTCCAACAGGACGAAGCCGATAAAGGGACTGTAAAAGAAGCAGACAAAGAGGAACCAGTCAAAGAGATAGTTGAAGGAGGATCGAACGAAACGGAAGAAAGTTCAAAGTCGGTCTTTGACATCGCACAGATGTTAACGGATAGAGGTGAAATGTGGAAAAAGTTCAAAGAAGAAGTGGAAAGAATATCGAATGAACAGCAAAACCCAGTAACTGAGGCAAAAAACGGGGAAAAGTCACTCGATTACGGTGAGGAATGTCCGCCGGTCGAGTCGTCCGAAAATCCATTAACGAGCCTTGAAGGAATTGACGAACTGGAAAAGTCAAAATCAGAAGAAGAAAGGTCAAACTCCGACCAATCAGAAAGGTCACCAACGAGAATTCGAGTAGCAAGGAGTCACCCGAGAGTCGCCGCACGAAATGGCCGAAAAGCAAAGGTAGGGGACAAACCCCTGCTCAAAAATTAGAAAGCGAAAAAACTTAGTGATTCGCGGTAAACCAAAGTGACCTTTCATCAGAAGATGAAGGAGTTGATGAGCGCCCACTCGAAAAAGCTGACAAAGGTCAAGCTACTGCACAGGGATGTGAGAGCAGTAACTCGGACTCTGAGTGGACGAGTTCAAGTGACAACTCAACACTTTCGGAAGATTCAGGTGTAAGTGATCTTTCAGAACAAGAAGATTTAATGGACTTGGATGAAGATGACGAAGTAGATGAGGAAAAGGAAAAAGAGATTAAAGTCAGAAGATTGAAAGTGGAAAAGGCTAGAATGTCGAAAGATGTGATCAAAGTCTACAGTGACCAGAGAATCAAATTGAAACCGTCAAACTGCACACGGGTAAAGGTCAAGATGGGAAAATATGCACCGGCTCAAAACAAGTTGATGTTTACACCGGTTCCACAAGTGGAAGCTGAGGTGCAACCGTTGGCAGGAGTGACGGACCACAGGGGAAAATACTTCGAAATCGTCATCGCGAATCACAGTAGCAAATACTGAATCGTGAAGAAAAATCAGCTTCTCGGATACGTTGAACCGTATGAACATATGGAAAATGTAAAGGTCAACGCAGTGACAGTAAAAAACGTACTCGAAGACCCTGATGTGGACGATACAACGAAAGCCGAACTTACAAAGATAATTGAAAATTTGAAACTAGGACTTGACCTTACCCAAGAACAGAAGAACGACGTGTATAACGCTTTCTGGGAGTTCTGGAAGGTCTTACCCACATCAAAGAAGCAATATAGAGATGTGAAAGGGGTCACTCACTTAACTGATACGGGAGATGCGAAACCAGTTAAATGTAGCCCGGCCAGAACGAGTTGGACAGGCCGTGAGTTTATAACGAAGCATATTGAAGAGATGTTGGCACAAGATGTAACTGAGCCGTCAGATGCCGAGTGGAGTTTCCCAGTCGTATTGGCAATAAAGAAAAATGGCGACGGAACAATGGGAACCAGATTTTGTGTCAATTACATCATGTTTAACAAGCTGACGAGAAAGAATAACTACCCACTACCGAATCCGGATGAGTTGCTCGACGCGTGTGCAGGCAACAAATATTACGGAAAAATGGACTTACAAAGTGAATTTTGGCAGATCCCAATGGATCCAGCGTCAATTAATAAGACAACCTTTGTAACGCAAGACGGAATGTATCGGTTCAAAAGAATGCCATTTGGAGTTTGCAACGGACCAGCAACATTTCAGTTGTGCATGGACAAAGTACTTTCGAAAGCGAAAAGAAAGGGTTGCGTTTTTGGGTACATTGATGACGTGATCTTCGCCAGAAAAACTTGGGAAATTTTCATGCAGAATTTGAGAAAAGTCCTAATGAGTCTAGTTGAGGCGGGATTCACAATAAAGCCAACGAAATGCGAATTCGGAATGAGACAAATGGGATTCCTGGGTCACATACTCAGCGAAGACGGAATTCGCATGGATCCGGAAAAGGTCACCGCGGTCTCAGAATTCAAACGACCTCAAACAGAAAGGCAGTTAAGGTCATTCCTTGGACTGGCAGATTATTATCGCAAGTTCATAATGGGATATGCACAGAAGACCTGCCACTTGTATGAATTGCTGAGACAAGATAAGCACGTGAAAAAGGACTGGACAGCAGTACATGAGGAAGAGTTCAATAGCTTGAAAAAGTTGTTGTGTGAAGGTCCAGTATTGGCAAAGTTTGACCCTGCAAAACCGACGTCGAATGCGACGCGAGCCTAGAGGGAATTGGAGCCGTACTGTCACAAGATGGACATCCAATCGCATATGCGAGCCGTGTCCTGCATGGAGCTGAGAAAAATTACGGTGTGACGGAATGGGAATGCCTGGCAGTTGTGTTCGCTGTCAGGAAATTTAAACCCTATATCGATTACGCAGAATTCACCGTAAGGACGGACCATCAGGCGCTGACTAACCTGCTGAGGTCAGAGACCAATAAAGTTGTTGGAATGAACCCGCGTCTGACAAGATGGGCAATGCCACTACGAGGTCATCAGTTTAAAATTGAATACAAACCTGGAAAGTACTGTGACAACGCGGACGCGTTATCAAGAGCGCCAATTGAAAGTCCGACGTGTCAAGAAGAGGAATTTGATGAGATTCCAAACTTCGAGGATTTTAAGAAGGAATTCGACACGAAAGAACCAGCTATTGAAATTGGACAGCTGTTCCTACAGATGGTGGAACAACGAGAAAAACGATTAAAGGTCACTTCAGCTACGGCGAATGAGTCGGCTGAAAATGAAGCGAAAGTGAACCGAGTGAAAAGCTGGTTGCCCACCGTTAGTGACTTAAAGGTCACCGGACTTGACGTGGCATCTAAAATGCAGAATGAAAAGGTCACGGGATTCGATGTTGGACCAGAGAATAAAGATGACCTTTGGGAAAAGGATAAGGTGACACAAGCGTTGAATGAGTGCCCGATTAAGTTGCTGAGATTCCCAAAACAGATGAAAAAGAGCTACAAACCGTTACCACGCTGCAAGGTCATCAAAGATTGGAATGAACTCAGCACAGCGACAGTCCGCATCGTCAACCTGCAAGGTGACCAAGAAGAGGTAGATGACTCAAACTTGCAACTGCGGAATAAGCAGCTTAAAGACCCCCATCTGGCAATGATAATAGACGAATTGGAACATCTACCAGACGCGGAAACAAGATCGAAATTTGAAGTGCATTACCAGTTGTGGAATGGTATATTATACCGAGTAAAGGACAAAAACGTGAGACTTGAAAGGTCATACGTGGCACCGCTGTCAATGCGAAGAGCGATAATCCACGCATTGCACGACGAGAAAGCAGCAGGACATTTGGGATTTTAGAAGACATTGACAGCGATTCGACTCCGATATTACTGGGACAGGATGAGTACAGATGTGAAGAATTACATACTCGCCTGCCAAGGATGTCAGTTTTGTAAAACACCGAGGAAGTGCCCGCCGGAAAAACTGCAAGAGATAAAAGTCGGACATCCGTTCTTCCGAGTATATGCTGACTTGAAAGGACCTTTGTTACCGACCAAGAAACGAGGATATAAATACATAGCGGTGTTTATTGATCAACTGACGAAATACGTGATTGCGGTACCAATGAAGACGGCAACGGCTAAAGAATTCGCGAAAGTGTTTGTAAAGCACGTAATATTGGTACACGGAGCACCGCACATCCCACATACGGATCGCGGACGACACTTTACAGCTGAAGTATTGGCAAAGGTCACCAATGTGTTCAAGATTAAACACACATTCGGAACGGCATATCACCCAGAAGGTCAAGGCCAAGTTGAAAGGCAGATGCAGACAATTGAAACTGGCTTGGCACAATATCTGAAGGCGGGAAATGAACGAAAATTTAACAAGTATCTCCCATACGGTATTTCGGCAATGAACAGAGTCGTGCACGCCACAACGGGATATTCCGCATACTATATGCTACACGGCAGAGAAATGACAATGCCGGAAGATGTGGTTACGAAAACGAATATACCCGATGATTATGGAACTCCAGACGAATGGGTGGAGACCATGAAAAAGAACTTGACCTTTGCCGAAGAAGTGGCGAGATGTAACATCAAAGATGCTTATGAGAAAAATGCGAAAATTTACAATAAGAAGAAATCGGAACCGAACTTCAAAGTGGGAGATTTTGTATTGATACGATTACCAAAGGATACGAAACAAGGGAAGAAAGAAAACCAATCGGACTTTAAATCGAAATACGATAAGGTGTGGAAGATTCTCAGTTTCCCGCGACCAAACGAAGCCGAGGTTATTGAGCAGAACCCGAAGAAGGAAGCAGACTTGAAGGTGGTTTCGATCGACCGGTTGAAACCCTGGCACCCTCCATTACCAGATGAGGAAAAGGTAACAGAGCGTACTCAAAAAGATTCGGAAAAATCATTTTCGAACCACCTCTGCTACCCGAAACGGGGAAAGCTAACGAAAAGAAGACGAATCAGAGCGGAGTCCGAAAAATGACTCAGTCACACAACAGAAGCCATTTTTCGAACCACCTCTGCTACCCAAAATGGGAGAAGGCCAAACGAATGGGTTAAACGGAGATAAACCGAGAAAGAATAAAGGAAGAAAGCGGAAAGAAGATAAGGATTTCGAAACAGCAGTTACAATCAAGTTGAATGCAGAAGCTGGAAATTTGGCAGAAAGGTCACCAGCTATCGGAGAAGAAATCGAAGTAGCAGAACGCGCTTCGCAAAAGGACTTTGAACCGAATCAAAAACCTTTTCTCGAACTACGCACTGCTACCGACAATGAAAATGACCTCATAGAAAGGCGAAAAGAGGAAATAGAGGCGGTCAGATCAAAAGCTGAGCAATTGGGCCGCGATATAGCGAAAGCAATCAATGAGCGAAAGGTCAAGCAGAAGAAGAAGAAACCAACTCCTACGGAACTGCTAACCCAAAAAGGCTAACCTGAGGACGCAGCCGAGCAAGACCTTCTTGATCGGATAACTAAAGGACGCGAAAACAAATAACTCAGATAAATATGATTAAGGGGATTTATGGCAATAAGAATAGGAGATGAGAAGGTGTAAAAGAAAGGTCATCACCGCGCAAAAGTTAATCAAAATTGTTTCATTGTTACAGAAGGTAAGCTCAGTTAATGGACAGATTGGAACGACAGAATTCAGATAATTCCGATTCGGAAAGTATTGGAAACCCACTAAAGACATCGACACCAATAAGAATGGAAGGGGAATACGGTTACGACACCTCATACGGTGAAGGATCGACGTCGTCAGTGGGAACGGCTCAGAATGAACCCGGAACAGTTCAAGGAGGTTACTACGGCGGCCAGGGGTATTACGTGTATCACGATCCAGGACAGCAGACGAATTACCAGGACACGGTTAACTGGGTGCACCACGGCTCACCAGCCGGAACCCAGTATTCGGGACAAGCAACGGGCGCCCCCTATCAACCGTATCCGGGATCGTATACCCCACCGGCGGGACCATCGCAGGTGATAATGGGACCGGCAAGAATGTTGATGCCGCCACCACAACAGACTACACCGAGTCGATTAACGGGACACGGAGGATTCAGCGGAATGCTAGCGACTCCAGTACAGTCACAAAGGTCATCTCCGATATTACCGCCTTTCCCGGAGAAGGGAGGCTTGTCATTGTCGGACATAGGAACGCCTCGCATGAGAACACCGCAGCAACTGGGAGCGCAGCGCCCTCATCGTAATTCGCCACACAGAGGAGGAAGGCGACCGAGAGGCATTTTACCATCACTGGGTCCCAACCTGGATCAGACTGGACCAGATGGACTACGACTTACGCCCTCAGGCAAACCCTCAGTACACGAATACGCACCGAAGCTTCCCTTGGATTTGAGAGACGATGACCCGAACCTGAATTTAATTGTGGATACAAAGGATAAACTTACAAAAACCGACTTAGAAGCCATTCGCGACTTCAATAGGAAATGCCGTAACCTTTACAAAATCCACATGAGAGTTGAAGATGAACACGCATGGTATGGAAAGTTAATCAGTCTGGAAGCTGTCATCAAACCATGTCACATTGCCATGAAAGATAAAACCAAACAGGTTGAAGCAAAGCGTAAAGAATACGCAATACAAGTTGCATCGATGTGGCAATATCATCCGACGATAAAAGGTAGAGTCTAGACAGTGGCCGGTGACTGTTGAAATGATCCTTAGATATCTCAAAGTGTTCCCGGAAACAAGACAGATGCCGACTACCAGCGTCGCGGGACTATCTGAACCCATAGCTGAAAAAGACGCCCCGGTCGATGAAATGACGGACGAGGACCTTTTGGCAACGAAGAGGAAGATCGATGCCGAATTAACTGAACGAGCAGAAAGGTCACGGGCCAGCTCGACCGCAGGATCAGTACGTGGACGTACTAGTTCGGTTACAGAACCGTCCTGCGGGACCACAAAGAGTGGAAAAAGAGTAAGGTCACCGACGATAAGCTCAAAAGAAACTGGCAAAAAGGAGCAACGTACTAAAAAGGTCACGACGACTAAAGCACCGCCGGCTAAGCCACAAGGCCCAGTCCCAGTGGGTAGACAGAGTGTGCCACCCACGCCGGCTGGAACAGAAGGTCAGATTCGATTCCCGAAGTGTAGAAGTTTTACGGCCAAATACACTGGGACAGACCATAAAGAACGAAAGGTCACGGCGCGTATAGTCGATAAGAAAACGAATAAAGAGATCGACTCGTATAATCCGTTCGCGGATAGGTCAGTTAAGGATGCCATTGGGGAAGAGTCAAAAACGGTAGTCAACGAGGCGTTACAGTTTGTTCCCCCAGAAGAACGTCATAATCCAAGAGTTCTCATTCAGATGATGAAGCACTTGGTATCTAAAGTTGCGACCGAAGAAGATGCATGGATCCGTATCAAAGTGGGCACAAATGACGACCACTTGGCATATACATACACCGTGGACGGCAAATTGTTGACCAAAGAGAGGACCCGCTCAAAGCCGTCGGCAGATCCAGACCCAAAGAAACGGTCGTTAGATGATTATGAGTCGATCCTGAGATATACAGATGCGACAAGTAGAAAGGTCACCCTCAGACTTTTCGCTGGTAACGGAGAAGTTGTGGAAACCATAACTGCAGTGATAGTTGACCCAATAACAGGAGACCCGATTCCATATGCTCCTTGGGGTGTATCAGAAGAGAGTGCCCAAAATGCGAATCAGGCAGCCATTGAGCAGTTATGGAACCTGATACCTGAAAGTGACCGGGAAGATCCGGTAGTCCAAACGAGCACATTGATCAGCATGATGAGGCATCGAGCGGAGATCGACGAGGCGCATTTCCGACTCACAAGACGAATGGAAAACGGATCGTACAAAACGGTGTTCTACGACGTTAAAAAAAACCCCGTATGGGAGGTCGTCTCACCGGGACAGACGAAAGAAACACCACACTTGGAAATTCAGGATGAACAGCCCCCGGCACAAGAAGGCGGAGCCGGAGAAATGGAAGAGGCCCCAGTCGCAGAAGTTGAAGAAACTGGGGGCACCAGACGATCATCGAAGCAGGATGAGTCGGAAGATGAAGAAGACGACGAGGATTCGCCAGACGAATCAGCCGAGGAAGATCAAGAAATGGTTGCTAGGCGTAAAAAGCCCTCAAAAGAAGTCAAACCGAGAAAAGCGCCTAAATTGGAAGAAGCCATGAACCGTGAGAATCCTAAGAAAGGCGATTTCCTAAAGAAACGAAGGGAAGCAGAAGAGAAAAAGAAAAAGAGTGGTGATGAAAGCGAGGACACAGCAACCAAGAAAAAGAAGACGGAGAACACGAAGAAGGAAAAACCGCCGTCTCACGATGTCGAAATACTGGACGAATCAGTCGGCGAAGTTGAGGAAAGGTCATCGACACCTACGACTTCAAAGAAAGTTATCCAATCGGCTACATCAAAATCAAAGGTCACTGAGCCTGAGTCGCCAAAAACCAAAGGAAAGGTCATAGCAGTGAAACAAGCTGTCCCCATTGTCATTTCTGCATCCACGCCAAAAGAGCGCAAGGACAAACAAATTCGTGAGAAAGCGAAACGGGAGACGTCGCGTGAATCGGAGGCATCGGAAGTAAGTCTACCGAGCACTTCGACAGTCAGTACGAGGTCATATACGGATCCAAAGACAACCCGGTCAAGGACCACAGAACCAAGAAGCCTAGCGGAGGTTTTGGATAAAGGGAAAAAAGCAAAGAGCGAACCCGTAAAGTCCAAAAAGAAAGGGAAGGAGGCCATGAAAATCGACGCACTGGCGATGGCCACTTATACCGAACCAGACGGTGACAGTGAACTCGATTTCTCGGGGGACGAAATGGAATTCGATGACCCGGACAATGATAATATGACCACGGTCGACGAAATCGTCGATGCGTTCGATGGAGCCGAAAAAGAATTTGCGCGGATAAGAACAGCGCCAGTGACAAGAAAATTTAGAGCGGGTCTCAAGAAATACCTAAAAGAGAAACGCCGCAGCTTCACCAAACAGAAATTCGATGTGGTATTGGAGTATGCGCGGAATGCGGGAAAACTCATTCAGAAACACCCGAACTTTGCATACAAGGCCAAGCTGTTCAGACCGACAAGTTCAGACAAGGCGTTGACGACTCCGAACGAAGATATCCCAATGCGAGTGGAAAGGGCAATCTCGGGAATGACAAGCCCGTTGGGATCAACGAGTCACCGGATTAGCCAGTATATCAATGCAGTTTGAAACGATGGGAGAGGAATGATAAAGGAAATCGATACGGCCACTGAGCGTGTTTTGCCACGGATGATTAGGCAGAACGTCCTTTCGACAACGAATGCGAACAAAGGACAGCCTATCAGATATACAAGAGTGGGTCTGATACCACCGGAAAGACAGATCCACTGTCATATGTCTGACAGTCAAGATACGGAAAAGGTCACAGTCCCACTGAGTGGAGATCCATCAACTCCGATATTGAATCAGATCGCACAGAAAATGGCTGAAGAAGAAGCAGCTCGGCTTAAATCGCAGGCCCCGAAAGTGCCGAGCACCAGGGGGCCGATGGATGACGAAGCGGAGGAAAGCGATGACGATACTACGACACCGGCGCTCCCCGAGTCTGTGACAGAAAAAAACGACCAGTCAAGATCAAGAGACATCTGGAACTGTCGCAGAAGTTCAACCGAAAGGTCACGAGACTTCAGACAAACGGGAGAAAGAAAAGGTCATGCTCCCGATGGACAAGGCAGCGGCAGAAGCAGAAGTGGTCTCCGCGCGACAAGTGTTTCAGAAATCATTGTTCACACCATTAAAGGAAGTCTTTGAGAAGGAGCGGTCGAAGTCGGCTGGCGATGTGGGAGGTCAAGAGACTTTGCCGCAAGAAGAAAAGAAGACAGCAGAACCAAAATCGGCGGGGTCATCATCAGGATCATTGGCAAAGCTGAGGATTGACAAAACAGCGACAGCTGATCCAACGGACTCGGCATCCTCCCAGAAGAGTAGCGGTACGCCAGTAAAGGAGGCTACGGATTATACGTTAGGACCAGCATTGGACGTGAATAATCGTACATGGAACGAAGTCCAGGCCGCGCTCCAAATCATTCGAGAAAAAGAAATGCTTGGTACGGATCTGAAAAGACAAGTTGCAATAAATTCGAACGGAAGGTCGTCACTTAACATGACTGAACGAGCCCTGAAACGAGCATACAAGGAAGGAAAGTTGGGATGTAAATACAGCAAGGACAACAAAGTCGTCTACTACCTTCCGAAACAGGGTCAGGAACGACCGCCCAGACTGAAAATGGAACTAGAGGCCTGGAAGATAGCCATCACAGACGTGGTTTTGGACGCCATCGGCGGTACCAACGGAGCGTCATGGAATGACCTTTTGAACTTCATGGCCGTCCATTATGAATAGGGAGAGCTGAACGTTGAAAACGAAAAAGAGTGGATTAAGGATGCCGTCGAAGCCTTGATCGCAGACGAAGTACTTCATATTAATCCAGATGGACGAGTCGACTTCAAACCGTATAAACCACCGGCGAAGGAATCTGAGTGAACGGGACGGGTGTAATATGCAGCGAGTAATGAACCCTGCATATTACAGAAAAAGCATAAAACAGTACAAAACGAAAGAGAAAGTGTTACGGGAATGGGAAAGTGAAAAGTTTAACTTGAACAGCGATTAGACTAATAGAAAAGGTCACAGTAGTCAGAAAGTGCTGATAACGTGAGAAAGGTCACCACGTTACAGTGATAGAAAAAGCAACAGGAGCTAGGAAAGTCTCAGCTCAGTAACGGAATAGGCGTAAAAATGATAGAAAAGCCTTAATATGAATAAGAACGGAGAAGAGTGACAACAAAAAGGTTACTTTGATGGATTGCTTTATAATTGCAGATTGAAGCGGAAAAATGGAAAAGAAAGGTCAAGCCGTTTCTAAACGTTCAGAACAGCGGCAGACATTGATCGGTCTACGGGCTATAACCCAAAGTGTCCGGACTGTTTACGGAATGACAAAAAGGTTGATAAGAAATTCCCGCGCTACGCATGCATTCACAAGCTGGAGGACCCACATATTGTTTCACTCGTTGGGGTCTCGGAGGCCAAACGTGGGAACCTGGACGTCTTCCGCAACCTGATAAGCGCAAGGAATTACGGCAGCATCCCAGTGGAAGAGCGAATGCTGCTTGAGGATCGCTACCGGGAAGCGATCCAGAATAACGAAAGCGGTTGGGATGAGACTTTGAACCGTTGAAATGCCCACAAACGGATGCATACCGAAAGAAGATCGAAGAAGATCAAGAGAAGATGCGATTTCAGCAAATGGAAGATGAAATCCGCGCGAAAATTAATGCGGAAAACAAAAGAGCGAGCGAACAGGCTGCACGGGAAGCGATACCCAGTTCTTCTAATCCAGCCGTACCTACAGCTAGCCTACACGAAGACGAAATGCAACTCGTACGACAGTCGCTCATCATTCAGATCGACACGCTGATAAGCGATCCGGCCGCCATGCAACAGGACTTATTCGACGCGCTGTTGCGGGAAAAGCTGAGACTGCAGAAGGGTTTCGCGCCAGCACCATACATAAAGAAGGAAGTCGAAAGACGTATGGATGAAAAACGTAAATCTCGCCAAACTGAAAGTGACGTGCTCCAGGCGCTCAGAAGTTTAAACGGGACGAAGGTTTTATTCGACCTCGATCACCTCCGCATAGAGAAAGGTCACGCGGACATTCACGTGAACATGAACGGACATCTGAACGACGGAGTGAAAGGTCACGTGAACACTCTCGTGAAAGGACACGTGACTACCCCAGTGAAGATCCAACACGCGAACGTTCTCGCGACCGAGACTACCGTGGCGGAAGAGGATGGGTGCGCCATGGAAACGAAATAACAGAAATGTGTATTCAGAGGAAAATCGATACGGCAAAGATTTTGGCAGCGACGAGAGAACGCGAAGAGAAACGGCGTGCGGAGACGTTCCGTACAGAGCCTGAAAAGCAAGGGCATCAGGTGCCGATGGGAGTTGCATTCCGGAATCGTAATGTTAGAATGTCAACACCTGAAAGGTCATGGGATAAAAGACGCGAACATACGCGAAACCGAACGCCAGACCCACATGATAAGAGATGGCAAGAACGAACCAAGTACTACGCGGGTTTTGAATCTGGCGCAAGCAAAAGGTCATCAAGCGCAGAGCGGGAAGATTCACCCCCGAAATATCAGCGAATGGAGTCAACAGTCCATGTGGTGGATCCAATTGTAAGCGCCGTTCAAGAAGACGACTTGATGGAAGGGACCAACTCGATTGCGGAAGCGTCTCAAGAAAACGTAACCCATCGACGAAATGTGATTCTTGATAGCGACCTTCAACCGGCTACACCGGCGAGTAATGAAACGTCGCAGCCTGAGTCAGGAGAGCGACGTGAACTAGAAGGTCAACGTGAACCGGATAATCGTCGCCAGGCTGATCAGCGACTGAACTGCAAAAGAACTACGCAAAAGAAATTAAAGAGGGAGTGGAACAAGGAATTTTTCGTCGGTTATTCATCCACCGCGATTCGGCACGGGACTGTTATCTCCCTATCAGACGGAATGGGTTACACAGTTTGGTGGATTTGAGCCTATCGGATGTGCCACTGGATACAATGGACCCAATCGGGATGACCCGATTTTATTATCGCGACTACCCGGAACGACAAGAATACGTAGCCCAGTTTGTTTTACGATATGTGAATCCGGCTTTCAAGTTGCTAGCAGCAAGAGCATCGATCGGATTACAGGTGGATCCGAAAGACTATGCCGCAAAAAGGATGGGGCAAAAGGTCTTTGCTGCACGACTGGCACATTACAAGACACAGAACCAGTTGCTATCAAATACGATGAGAGACGATATCCCACCATTTTTCCGATCTCATGTCGCCAAACTGGGAGAACCGATGGAACACCTCAGCATAGCTCATACTGCTCGGAAGGCGCTAAAGAAGTGCAAGACACGGATGGAAAAGGGCAACTTGACACAGCGCCATGCCTCCCAAGTTGAAGAAAGGATTAATAAGATCAAAGATTCCCTGTGAAGTGACTACGTCGAACCAGTGGACGGGGTGGAAACGTATATTGACGAATTCTTGGTGAAGAAAAGTGATCGGCGCCCGGAACGTGCTCCCAACCAGATAGGACGACGTGGCCTGCGGAATCAGCGCCTACGAGATAATCTCGCTGAAGTACAACGGCGACTGGCGGATGACCCTAATAACCGAAGACTGCGGTTAGAGGAGAACGACGCACGCCATCAAGTTGAGGCGGTTAAGCGAAGTCGTCAAGGAAAAGGTCGTGGCCAGCGCGAAGTTGACCCGTCAAAGGCCATGGAAGTCGACCCCATGGAACCAGTTGACCGAACATCTGACCGTAATCAACCTGAAAGTGCTAAGAAGCGCCCGCCCAGAGATGGCGAGGGCGATTCAAATGAAATGGAATAGTGCCGATCGTTAGGATCCCACTATTAAAAGGACGCCTACGGCATTTGTCGGTACGTCACAAAGATGAAAATGGTGTTGTATAAAGGGCGTGACATGTGACATATTAACATTAACTGTATTCGTGTATTTGTTGTTTGCAGCGTTTATAGCACAGAATTGCCTAAAGAAATCATGTGGAATATCTATTGGGGTTGAAATTGATTCGGTCTATAAAGCCGGCCCCAAGGGAGTAGTTACGGCAGTTAGCCGGCTCTCCTCCTTAAGCGATTCAGTGTTATAAATTGACAAATGAAACTACGGTAATCAAGCCGGATCTCTTGAATACGAAACGGGGCCACAAGCGGCGAAAAAGAGAAAAACAACAGGTGGAATATTGATGAGGTTAACTTAATGCGGCAACCAGCCGGCCTCATTAGAGTTGTTACGGTAAACTGTGCCGGCACTCTTTTTCAGCGATTCAGTGTTAAAATTAAAACGAGAAAAACTACGGTAACCAAGCCGGATTTCTTGTAATAACGTAAGCCACAAGCGGCGAACAAGAGTAAAAGATCAAATGTGGAAATTTCATGGGGTAAACTCAATGCGGTAACTAGCCGGCCCCATCAGAGATGCTACGGTAAACTCGCCGGCACTCTGGCCGCCCGAGGCATGTTGAAGTTGGATGTGCGACGGAAAGATCAAATCAAGTCTTTACCAGGGAGGCAAGGAAAGAAGTGCTTGAAAGCCGCAGAAAATTGGCTAAGTACCTCCATGACCTTT